TGCTCCCAACTCTGCCATTAACCCCTTTCTTTTAACTTTGGGGACATGACATCACCTCTTTGAATCCCGGTGACCTCTGCTTGAACATGAGGATCTCCCGGGGCTGCTGGTAGCCGCCATGGCACTTTGGGCAAATTGGAAGAAGGCGCCCATCTAGATTGGCACCCCCATGTGTGGTGCCCAGAGCACAGCCTGCAGGCCCACGCCCACCCCCTCATCTGGGTCCCCAGGGCTGTGCCAACTTGTGTCACCACACACGATGCCTCCCTCGCCTCCCCCCGTGGGTTCTCGTGTCAAATAAAGGCAGTAACGTGGCAAAGCCCTCAGCGGAGAGCCTGGCTCTGAGCAGAAGCTCGGTAAAAAAGACAAACGCGCTCATGCCACCCCCTGGACGAGGATGCACATGTGGAGGGATCTGCTGGGAGCAAGGAGCACGTGCAGCCGTTTCCAAGCATGGACTGGCCAACTCTGGGGGTTCTCAGCGTGCCCCTCTCTTCACAGAATGCCAGGTGGGGCCTGAGAGATCAGGGCACAAACTGGGCATGCTCAGTGTGTGTGTGGGGCGGGGGGGCGGCTCATCAAGGGCCTCAGGCATGCAAGGGGCAGTGGGGAGAGGGCAAGTGCATAGAGCATGATGTCAAAGGGGGCAGAAGGGACATAAAACACTCACCTTCCTGTGGCAACACAGCTTCCGGCTCTAGCTGCAGGGACAGACACCCCACTGGATGCCACACTCCCAGCTCTGAGTACTTGCTTATGAATTCCCCTGGCCCTGGAGGTGCCCCCACCTGCCTACCCACCACCGGAGAAGGCCCGGTGCTCCAGGGGGCACGTTTCACCATCCTTGCACCAACTCCCTCACGGACACTGCCCAGCAGGACGTCACCCAGCCCGGGGCGTGTGAAGGCCAGTAGGGACTCCAGGACAGCCATTCTGTTGGTGCAGGTTTTCCTTAAGAGGAAATCGTTGTAGGAAGACGATGAATAAAAGCCACACGGGTGTATTTATTGAAGGAAGACGAATTATGCCATCACCCCTTTGGGCCCCAAAATAGTTTTCAGTAAAAGGTTAAAACCATCATGTTGAATCAATGAGAACTATGCCATTATTCCAAGAATGATTGATTGGAAAGTACTTTACTTACAGGAAAATCACGGTGACAGAATACAGCTTCTACTTTTAAAGCACTTTCCATTAAAAAAAAAAAAAAAAGTCCTACCAATGTATAAAAATAGTTTCACTGAAGATGTGAATCAACAGCCAAGTTCATTTATGTGCACTTGAAAGCCATGTGATATAAATAGATTCAACAATGAGACTATCAAGCGCTTCTGGTTCGTGGCAACCTTAACTTCCATTTTCACTAACAACACATGCCCCAAAGTTCCCTTCGGAAGGCGCATCTGGTCACGTTGGGAGAGGTGATTCGAAGAGAAAGAACACGCGGGAACCCCTGCGAGGGATAGGTCACGCTGACTCGACACCCCACAGATGAGACAAACATGGGGCCCTTGCCCTCAGAAACACTTCCAGACCCTAGAACAGGCGTCCTCAAACTACGGCCCACGGGCCACATGCGGCCCACCGAGGACATTTATCTGGCCCGCTGGGTGTTTTTGCCCCGTTTGTTTTTTGACTTCAAAATAAGATATGTGCAGTGTGCATAGGAATTTGTTCATAGTTTTTTTGTTTAAACTAGAGTCCGGCCCTCCAATGGGTCTGAGGGACAGCGAACTGGCCCGGTTTTAAAAGTTTGAGGACCCCTGCCCTAGAATGTTCAACTCAGTGCATTACGTGTCCTAAGCAAAATGCAACAGGTTATGAAAAGTCAACATTCTTTTCAGCTGGATTGACTTCCTTCAGCATGCTCTGTGAGGTGGTTCGCAGAGACACGCATTCCTGGGCCTGCATTCCTATGGCAGCTCTGCCGGCTGCTACCAGTAAGACCAGGGACCAATTATTTCATGTCCCTGAGACTCCGTTTCCTCAAGTGTCCGAGGAAGTTGTGAAGATGAGATGAGATCAGTATCCGTGTCGTCCATCTAAGGAGGGCTTCTAGACATTTGTGGGGAAATTCCGTTCTCTCTACTGCTTCCTGATGCCAAGCAAACAATGGAAGTTCACTCCCCTTCTGACCCTTCCATACCTCTGTGGAGACGAAGTAGTACTTTTGGACCCTTCCATGCTTAAGTTTCAAAGAGCATTTCCATTGTTGGGTGTCATGTCCTTTTGCATGCATTTCCCGGCCTTCCTATCTTTGAATTGATGGCTCCTGTCAGCCAGGAGACTCCCACTACTTTGCACTCAGCTGTTGCCTTCTTTGGAAAGAACCTGAAATCCCTTTCCTTTCACCCTGATGAGAAAGCGGTTGCTGAGACAGCCTGAGCATCAGTCCATCCACCGGCATGTCATGAGTGTATTCCATTTCTGTTTCACGTTTTCTGTTCGAGCTCCTGGAGTGTGCACACAGTGAATGCACTTGGCTGCTAACTTACTTGAACGCTGGCAGGTGGAGTCCACCCAGAGCTCCTCAGAGGACAAACCTGGACATCGGATGTCCAAACAATCAGCCATTGAAAACCCCATGGAGCGCCATTGTACACAGGGTCCCCATGAGTCAGAGCGGGTGGCAACTTTTGGGGGGTGTACTCTGGAGTTGTCAAGAGAAGACCCGATTCCTGGTATTTCTGATGAAGGATTACCTTTGAAGTCTTTACCAACTGTGTGTAGCACGGAGAGCGAAGGCAAAGAAAGTCGTGGAATGCACCATCCGTTGCCTGATTAATGAATGCTTCCAGGCACTGTTTTCCTGGCTTTGGATGTGGTAGGAAGTAATTTAAATGATTTAAACAGTGTTTTCAGGCATAACTAGAGTATTTTTAAAGCCTTAAAAATCTTGCCTGCAACCAAATACCCCATTAGCCCAAAACAGTGTGTGAAACTGATTCTGTCAATGGCACTACATTGGCCTTCTTCAACCATGTGTCTCTGCTTTGGTCTTGCTGCAAGTTAAAGAGTGAGGGAGGTAATAGGAAGCAGATACCATAAAGGATCTTAAGATGTTGACAAAGTGAGGGGGAGGTGGGGGAAAAGAAGTGGTGTTAACACACCCAGGGACAAGGGAACAACAAGTGATCTAAAAATCGATGGCAAGGAGGGTGTAGAAGACTTGGTAGGACTTGATCAAGGGCAATCTAACCGAGAGGAATTACTGAAATCCAAATGAAGGCTGAGCATGATGTGGGACAAGAGGAAAGT